GATTCTTTTTTTAATCAAATTTGGTCCTTTTTTAATCACATTTTAATCCATATTCCAGATAAAAAGGACCAAATTTGATTAAATTTTGAAATTATATGACCAATTTTGATAGTGGTCAATATATGGGTGGTTTTTTGGACTGTGGCCAAATTATAGGACCAATTTTGAAATTATGCCTAACCTACAAAACTAACATAAAAAAGCTGAATATTTACAAAATTCAAAAATAACAAGCCTCGACTTTGGATAAATGGAAATAATAACAAAAATAAATTAGGTTTTTTAACATTACCGCATTTCGAGTTCGAAGAATTGGCCTCATCCTCTGACGAAGCATTTTGCACTGTCGGGCATCCCATATGAGTTATCTAGGGTTCATGCTCGATTTTGGTTAATGAGAGAGACATTTCGATTTTCAAATTTAAAAATAACGATTAATGTCTTGCTCTTCAGCTCGTTAGTGTTGACGACATTGGGACCATTTTAGCAACAAAAAAAATAATAAGGACCAAAAATAAAATTTTGGGTACCAATTGTGATATTCGTGAAAACTAGTAGGAGCAAATTTGTAATTTTCTCTTGCAATGGTTATGTGAAGGAGACGAAACGTAAAATATTTTCATGCTAGCACTATCCATTAAAAGAAAAAAAAAAAAAAATCAATTCAATTGAAAAGTTGACTAAGAGCTCTGGCCAGATTTGTAAAAACTTATGATAAACATGTTCAATCTTTTAAAACAAGCTTATGTGCTAAAAATGTTCCAATGAATTAGAACCTATATAAAGAGTCATATGATCTCTAATTTATTTTGCCGGTGATGCCCTGTTTTTCTTTGTGAATCAACCTTGCTTCAGTTTTTCTATATGTGGCAAATTTTACAAAACTATTGTGATGCTTGTTTATTGTGTTTTTGTATTTCTTTTTATATGTTTTATGTGTATAGTTGAGTCGGTTTAGGTTTGTTTTCTTGTCTAACCGGTCCATTTTAGTTGATCCCGTGTGTTTTGATTTTCTTTTTGGTGTTTGTATTTTGGCGTACTTTCTCGTGTCATTGGTGCAATTTTTAGGTCCATTTTGGAAGATGAAAGAGAAGAATCGAGCCAAGTTCCGAGAGCATGAACCATTCCGAGAACCCCCGAGCCATTGTCGAGTCATTACCGTGCAAGAGATCCGAAAGTCTAGTTCGCCTAGCAAACGTGTTCGCCGTATAGCGAGTGTGCACAAGACTCACAAGACCAATTCGCCTAGCGAACGCGTTCGCCGCCTAGCTAGTGTGCAAAAGACCACAAGACCAATTCGCCTAGCGAACTAGTTCGCTACCTAGCGAGTGCTAAATTGTTAAATGTGTGTGTTTTAGTGTGTGTTTGTGGTGTAACTATAAATAGACTTGTGCCTTTGTATTTTTTGGGAGATAACTATCATTTCCCAACTTTGAAGTTGGGAAAATCCTCTCTATTTTCTTTTTTCCTTCTTTATATTTTGGTTTGGAGCATATGAATCAAGTTTTCCGGCGAATTTCTGGTGACATTGTTTCGAGTAAAATTTCGAGCTTTTGACTCTGCTTCTCCTTTCAAGTGCGTGTAAGAGTGGGTACTTAGTCTTAAGCCTCATTACTTCGTACTTTTTATTGCCTTGTTAATTGCTTTCAATTGTCCTCATTTCGTAGATTAGTTTAGCTTAAGTTTAAACCCCGAAATTGCGAGTAGCATGGTTAGGACTTTTTCGGTTGTGTGATTTGACGACTAGATAGTGAACGAAGCTCCGAAGAGCCTTCCTTTGAGAACGACCCGAGTCCGGGTAACTCGGTTACCAATTGCCCAAAAATACTACAAACAAAATGGCGCTGTTGCCGGGGAAGGCAAGTAAAATGTCAAGTTTACTATCTAGTTGTCGTTTGTTTCCGTGTTTCTCTTGCTTTTTGTTGCTTTTTCTTGATTTTGTGTGTTTCTCTTTATTATCGCCTTGTTTTTCATTTCTCTTGATTTAGCTTTGTGTGTTCGTATATATATCATGTCGTGTTAGTTTCGTTTTGTGTTTTCTTTCCTTTGCCTCGTGTGCCTTGGTTGTTTTGTTTTTCTTGTGCGAGGTATTTCGCTTGAGGAGCTCTGATGGATCCGTATGGCTATGCTTATGTCGGTAACTCGTCTCGTGGATGCCCCCGGCAACTATCATGAGGAGATGTACTCGTATGGAGGGCCGCCCTATCCGTATCTGAGCCCTTCTTACCCGTCATCGCAAGTTGATTTTGGTTTTTATTCTCCGGGTCACGACGAGACGCCTCACTATTATCCGCCACCTCTCGTTTATTATGAAGAGACACCTCCATATGAGCCGACTCGGGAAGCTTCTCGAGTCAATCTAGCCGAGATTATGGAGCATTTAGAGGAGTGTAATTGATCCCTTCGTGCTTCAATGGCTCCCATCCCGAAAAGGAAGAAACTGAGTCCCTTGCTACATCCTCTCTATCATTGGAGCACCTATAAGTTGGCCAACCTTGTACCTCGAGTTCTGGAGCTTCAATTCCAACCACGGTTGCGCCTTCCGAACGTCACCAAAAGGTTTTGACGAGCACTCAAGAGGCACTTGCAAGCCTCATGTCGATCATTGAGGAGTTTCGTAGCTGGAAGTGCATTCCCATTCCATCCGCTCTTCAACTCACACTCACGAAGTTCGACTCTATCGTGGTCCCTTTCTTTGATTTGGACGCATCTCACATTCCGCTCGGTAGATATTGTTCTCTATCGGCGAGGGTTATTCAAGAGAGCACCCGGTTAGAAGGCGAGTTTCGAGCTATGGTAGATAGGTTGGCCTCCTTGAAAGATATGGGCCTCACTCTCGTTTATGACGGTACTCAATCTCTCGACACGAGTGAGGACATCGACGATTTGAATGTTAAAGAAATTTCTTTTATCGACGATTCGGCCGTGCAATCCACGTTAGGTACGTCAACTCTCTCTTTCGGTGATAGTGCTTTGAGCTTTGATTATATTGTTGAGAGTGGGTGTATGGATTCAGGAGTTGATATGGTGTATGGTATGGGGGAGAATTCATTCGAGGATTCGATTGTGCCGAACGGTGTTGATAGTGCTTGGGAGGATGATTTTGAGGAGGAGGATGAGGTAGTTGATGATTTTGTGGATGTTGTAGAGGAGGATTCCGAGCTATCATGTGATGTCGTGGACCCGAGGTGTGCGCTGGTTGATGAGTCGACTTGTGATGTTGAGTATAAGGTGGTTCCTATGTCATTTGGGTCGTTGTTTCGTATTGTTGAAGACTGTGACCATTTGGAGGAGTTTAGTGTGCCTACGCCCGTACTCCCGATGCTTGAGCTTGATGAGTATACGTTCGAGATAATGCAAATGATGCCCGGGATTGATTCGACGTACTCTACGGATATTTTTATATTTTCGGAGGTCGAGTATGGGGCCTCAGTTCGTAAAAGTTCATTTCTTCTCTTGGTGGTTGTTGATTTCCGTGCTCGGTTTCACAAGAACTCGACCACGAGAGCGCATTTAGCCCGCCTTTGTTCCGTGTTACCGGATCGACTATTTTTGGAGAATACAAAGGCGTGGCATGATCGACACTTTTTATTGGACCCCAGTTGATTTTTGTTGGGGACGTCGAGCTCAAGACGTTAAATTGAGCGCTTCATGGGAGACAACCCACGGTTATTGCGTTTTCTCGTTTTTCATTTTCGTTCAAAAATAAATAGCCCCGCAAAGCACACGACAAACGGTATTTTTGGAGAAGGAAATGAGACTCGGAGCCGAGCTTTTATTGAAATTTGGGTTGGAATAGGGCGAAGTGTGGAAAGTTTGAGTTAAGCATGGAAATTAATGAGAAGTGCTCGTGCCGACCTGCTCGGCAGTACCGACTTGTTAGAGTCGAGCCAAAAAAAAAAGGATTAGGGTTTGACCAGCTGTTGACTCTCCCTTATATTACCCGCGAATAGGGGTGGGATTTTATACCCGAGAACTGGAGAACCAAACCGGACCGAACCGAAAATAACCGGTTCGGTCCGGTTATTTAAAAAAAAAACTATTTTTTTCGGTTCGGTTATTTTTTGTATGTTTTCGGTTCCGGTTCCCGGTTCCTTTCCAAGAGTATTGGTATTAACCGAGGAACCGGTTATATATGTGAAAATATTCATGTTTTATATGTTTATATGTATAAATCGGTTCCGGTTCTTGTACTTAATATTCGTTTCTTCATTTTTGCATTCGGTTCTCGGTTTTTCATGATATTTTTAGTCCGTGAGTTGTATTTTTTTGACCGGTTCTTAACTCAAAACCGGTTTTTGTCGGTTATTTTTTGTTATTCGGTTAACCTAATAATCGAAAAAACCGAACCGTTATAAACTGGTTCGGTTCTTTTTCGGTTCCTGTAATTTTTTAGGTGCTAACCGAACCGGTTTTTTTGGTTCGGTTCCGGTTCCGGATCTTGAAAAAAAAGATAAGAACCGGACCGGTCCCAGGCCTACCCACGAATTTGAGCTATCTTGCTAACTTCATTTTCGAGCTCTCGAGTCCAGGTGCTCTATCTTGCGAATTTGGCCTATCTAGCGAAACTGATTTTAGAGCCCTTAAATTTTTGCTGCTGTCCAAAAATGGAACCTAACGAAAATGTCATAGTTAGCGAAAATGTCATCTAGACATCTAATTTTGGTTTATGGTATTTATATTTGAGTTATATAGTCCCGCTCACCTGCCCACGGTGGGCAGTGCCCACTACTTTGTTTTATATGAAAAACGTATTTTGAGAATAGGTTTTTTTATTAATGTAATTAAAAAATATATTATCAGAATACGTTTTTCATATAAAACAAAGTGGTGGGCACTACCCACCGTGGGCAGGGGATCAAAATTTTTGAGTTATAATACTTGGGATATAAATTATGTAACTTATTATATATATGTAACAGTACCTGCAGCCTCCCTACTTCAAAACCCCCCATTTCTCTTAGCACAGTCGCTAGGGTTCATCAATCTCATTTACGAAAATGGCGAGTCGGTGCCTCGCTCGTCGCGCCCTTCTCTCCACCGCCAGACCGCCGGTCTCCATCGTTTCTCACTCATATGCCACGGCCGCGGCCGCCTCCTCCTCATCCGGCGTCCTCTCCAGGCCCGCCTTTGTCTTCCGCCTACGGCCTCTCGTAGCCTCCGCCTCCGCCTCCTACTTCCGCCGCCTTACCCCGGCGATATCTACAAGGGGGTTCGCCACCCGACAGAGGTCGTCGCCCCTGAATGATCAGAACCCGAACTGGTCGAATCGACCACCGACGGAGACGATCCTGCTCGACGGCTGTGATTTCGAGCACTGGCTGGTGATCATGGAGGCTCCGGATGAGAACACGACGCGGGACGAAATCATCGATTCTTACATCAAGACTCTTGCTATGGTCTTGGGGAGGTTTGGCAATTTTCACCTTGCTGGTCTCTGTTTATAGCAGGAATTTAAAGACTTCCTTTTTTTTTCTCCATCTCTTTGGTGTTGGCTTGTTTAAATTCAATCGAGATTCGTTTTCGTTAATCCTTTTTGTATGCTAGGAGATGGTTAAAATTCTGGAAATGATGTTTGGGGTTACAGATTCTGAGTTAGAAGCCATTGTATTGTTTTAAGATTTTCTGTGTTCTAATTAGACATTGTGCAATTATTTATCTTGTTGGAATTATGGTAATATTGAAAACGATTTTGCTATGAAGCCAACAGTTGGCTCCATAGTGGAGCCAACCTTTTATATGCAACAAATAAACCTACCATATTTTGTGATTACTTAAAAAACACTAATATAATTTTATCAATATAGCAGGTTTATTTGTTGTATATAGAAGGTTGGTTCCACTATAGAGTCAACCTACCATATTTTGTGATTACTTAAATAACACTAATATAATTTTATCAATATAGCAGGTTTATTTGTTATATATAGAAGGTTGGTTCCACTATAGAGTCAATTGTTGGCTTCATAGCAAAACCGATATTGAAAATGCTGTGACAAAAGTTGTTTATGGTACTTCTTATGTAGTTACAAGTCCTTGATACTGTAATATTGAATGGTCGACGTCGATTCATGAGTGTGATACAAACCATTTATTGTTTTTGTTATTATTGTTTTGGAGTGATTGGTTGGGTTACAAAATGCTTAAAAGTTTAAACATGAATGAGTTTAATATTCATGGGACTTCTCTTATGAGATTATAAACACAACAGTTGACAATCTCAGTCTCTCATTTTGTTTCCAACTGTCAGTCTTAATATAATAATATTCATATCTTTATTGTAATTTTTGTATATGCAGTGAAGAAGAAGCTAGGATGAAGATTTATTCAGTCTCTACAAAGTGTTACTTTGCCTTTGGAGCTCTTGTGTCGGAAGAGCTTTCCTTGAAAATAAAAGGTCCCAATCACCATATTACTTTCTGCATTAGTTTAACTTTCTGATTTTCTTAAGTTGATTAAAAAAAACATATGGTGCAGAACTTCCTAGAGTTCGTTGGGTGCTCCCGGATTCATACTTAGATGTGCAGAAAAAAGATTATGGAGGTATGAATTACCTCTGGCATATATATTTCTCGAATCATCAAATGTATATGGTTGATATGTTTAGTCCATGATGCCACTTAGAAACATTATTGGTGTAAATTTCTATCTATAGCGACTACAACAACGGGTTCATTTACAAACTCGTATTGTCCGAATCTCAAGGTCTCTCGTTCAACTCGTATATTTCAGGTGAGCCATTTATCGACGGCCAAGCTGTTCCCTACGATCCCAAATACCACGCGGAATGGTTGAGAAACAACTCACGGGCCAACGAGAGGAACAGGCGCAATGACAGGCCCCGTAACTTTGATAGGTCTCGAAACTATGAGAGAAACCGTAACTTCAATGCTCCACCTCCGCAAAATGCCCCCAATATGGGTGGGAATATGGGCCCCCCGCCAAACTTCAATGCTCCATCTCCACATAATGCTTCAAATGTGGGTGGAAATATGAGGCCCCCTCAAAACTTCAATGCTCCACCTCCACAAAATGCTCCAAATATGGGCCCCCCGCAAAACTTCAATGCTCCGCCACCACGGAATGCTCCGAATATGGGCGGACAACCCCCACAAAACTTCAATGCTCCACCACAGCCAAATGCTCCTAATGTGGGTGGGCCGAGTGGGGGACACGGAAGCTTTGGAAGAGAGATGCCGCCTCCTAACAACAACTATGGAAACTTGCAGTATGGGTCAAACAGTGGGCCTGGCATGCGACCCAATCAGGGGCAGAATCAGAACAGTGGATATGCATCGCAGAATGTTGGTGAGGGGAATCATTATCAAGGCCAGAATGCTCCGCCTCAGCCTCCGAATAGGGGTTTTGGTCAGGGACAGAATTCTGGTGGATATCGGCCAAGTGCAGGATATGGGCCCGAGGTGAATCAGAACAGTTATGGTCAAAGTCAGAACGGGTATGGTCAACACGGGCCGGGGCCAAATCACAGTGGCTATGGGAATCCTACGCAGAACCAGAATGTTCCTGGGAGAGATTATGTAAATTGAGGGATGTGCCTTTTGTTATTGTAGGGATTTTATTGTGGTCTTGATTTCATAAGATGACACTCGTGCAACTGCTATTTTGTGGTTTGCTTGCTATTTAGATAATGCTCGTAGTTTGTCGAGTAATTTTACAGATGGTTTCTTGTTACGCATTTTCTGCTGTGGTTTGCTAATTACCTTGTTTCTCTAGTTCAAATGACCAATATGAGCTGGAATTTTAAGCTTTATATTGTCATTTGAAGTTTGTTTTATCTTCAAGAATTCCTTGAGAACAAAATCTAGTTTACAGAATTTGTTGTTGGACGATGCTCATTACTCGTGAGAGATTACAAAAGTTATCACCTCTGTCGATGTAATTGAAGGTTTACAATGTCAATTGAAACCACCCAAAGACGTGAACAGTTGAGGTTGTATCACTCATTTGTAAATTTCATATATTCGAGTGTTTTGCTTTTGCATACTTGACATAGTAAAAGAATAAAAAGAAAGTGGTTTTCAAACTTGTAGCCAGTTATTTGCTGTAAACATGCCATGAAGAACTTCTGTTCATTGTAGCCAGTTATTTGCTGTAAACCTGCCATGAAGAACTTCTGTTCATTGTAGACAGTTATTTGCTGTAAACCTGCCATGAACAACTTCTGTTCATCCTGCAATGAGCATTAAGGTTCCGCAAAAGTAATTTACATAAAACGAAGGATAGCTCCTCGACTGCAAATATTAATTGAAACTAGGAATCACCGGTAAACAGGGGCGGATTTACACTTGAAGTTGCCCAGACTGGATTTTTGCTGCTAAATGCTAATATATGTAGTTATAATTTTCAAATAAATATTTTGGAAGAAAAGGCAAAATTTGAGAACTTGCGAGACATAATAAAAACAGTTTTAAGCTTTTTTAATAGTCTATATAAAACAAAGTCGAACATTATCTCTATGTTCTCTTCTATAATTAAATTTATTGAAATGATAATCGAGAATGAGACTATTGTTGATCGAAGAGGACAATATAATTTGTTGCTTGTGCAGATACAACCTTTTGATTTCATAATTTTGTCTTCTTGTAATGAGACAAATTTTACACTAACTAATGAGTTATGAGTAGAATTATTAAAGGATGATCAAGATATTGTCCATGTTATGGATTTGGTCAGGACAAGTAAGACCTTGCTAGTTTATAAAAACTATATTTTTTTTTTTTTTGGTTAACTAGAGCTTATTTAAAAACGGTTTTTATGATTAGTTGTGTGTGGAAATTTAAAAAAAATTATTAAAATAATATTTGAAAAGAATAATTAAAATTGATTGATGTAAAAGTAGGAGATATATGATTGAAAAATGATAGGTAGTTAAAATTGTGTGAGTGGATTAATAATCAATTAATGTAATGTGTAAGAATAGTTTAATGATATTATTTAGTTATATTTATAATATTGAAGATGGTGGGGTTGAATTAAAGTCGAGTTAAATTTAGAATTGAGATACAATTGTTTTTCTAATTTTTTTCTAGAAATTTGATAAAAAATCACGACCGAAACATCTCCAAAAAATGAGAGAAAACGAATGTGAATGAGAAATTTTCTTGAGGTAAATTCGTATGTAATAAGCACGGTATAAAAAATTTCGAGCACTTTTTTATTTTATATTGCCCTGGCTGATAAAAATTTATGCATCCGCCGCTGCCGGTAAAATGCATATTTAAATAAGTTGTTTAAAAGTGTTGCACGTAATGAATGATCATGACATTTTCGTTTCTGTTAGTCAACTGACATATACATGACTGCACAATGTAGCAAGTCATCGAAAAAAAAAA